TGGCTACCTTGGTTGGAAAAGTGCAATACTTAGGCCAGAAACCCACATAGATGCCTACATGCTTTAGAAACAGGTCTTATTCACAGGGTTTCCTTGATCATTGACCTTAGTATAGGTCAGCATCTGATGCTTGAGGTGGCAGTTTTGTCAGGCAAAGCATCTTCCACAAGTCTATTGCCCTATTTCTTTGGAAATGCTGTTCACATGTGAGTGAGACAGTGCTAAATACTCTCCCCTTTCCCTTGTGCCAGACAGGAAGAACAGAGAGCAGGCAAAACCTGACCTCAGCTCCTGCACAGCAAACGAACAGTGCCCCCAGTTTGACAAAGCACTGCTTGATCTCAGTAGAGAAAGCCAACCTGTGGTGTTACCAAGGTTGCTCTATGGACACTCAGGTTTTCTTACTGCCTGTGTAAGAGCCGGGAATAACCCAGATTCTGAACCAATCTCATTTGCCTTTGATCAGCGCTTCATTTCTGTTGGCAGTGTTTACACCATTTTACACTCTTTGGGATCCTTAAGTTTTTCTTAGCTCAACATCTAAATCATAGGATAGAAGTTTTACAAGAGATTTAAGTACATGGTTATGAAATTACTAGTGATGCTACTGATCAGACCTGTAATTTTATCAAAGATTAACTGAAAATTGCTGACTCCAGTGATGCTGCCGCTTGTAAATGGAAATTCCCTGGGCTCCCATCAGGGCTCCTTCTGCTAGTGTGAATAAAGGAGTTGAAACTTTCTTACAGATAGACTATGCCCACTGGCTTTTGTATTTTAAATTAAAGCCTAGATAAATAACTCCTGCATTCAGAAACTGTATTTTTTGTCCTTGCTTACCCAGAACTGCAATAAATAGTAAAAAAAATTTCAGTTAAAATTAAGGATATTCAGTTTTGAGATACGTAAGTATCCCCTACTAATGTAAGAAGGAATCTTCACTTTTAAGTGTTTTAAGTGAGCTAGCTGTGTGTTTTGTCCCCTGTACATTTCCATGTGTCAGGTATCTCCACTACTGGGAGCTTTGTTTGGCTCTAATATAATTGTTTGAAGGCTATGTGGACCAGAAGTACACAACCATTTCTATAACTGGTGGCCTAATGTCAAACCATTTTGGCTTCTGTATACGCATATATACAGTTTAAATCTAAAGCTATGGTTTTCTGAAATTAATAGCTATGAAGAACAGAATTTGAAAATTATAAAACAAAAATAAGCATTCAACCACCTGAAGGTTAGTTTAGCCACATGATGAATGCATGCATCCCAGGACAGGTACTGGAGTGGGTACCTCCACTTGCCAGCACCTGCTACCATTTGCTTCCAGTGGTATATGCAAAGTGTTGCCTTTATACAATATTTCCTGATTATAATACCTCCTAATATTTACAAGGTTGTAACTAGCAATTTAAGCTGTAAATAAACAAGCATAAATTGTTTATTTTTTCTTCCCCACCTGTAATTTTTTTGACCTCTGTTTATTATCATCTTCCTTTTTATTGTCAAATAATAACTGTATATAGAACAGCAAGTCGAGAATGTCCTTGTCCATTTCAGTCAAGGCTTTCAGACTTGCAGTGTTTATTTCAGGGCCAAAATTCTTCTAGCCATCTAAAAATCTGCTAACAAATAATCCAGGCACAATGCTGTGACTCATGTCTGAAGTTCATACAAGGATCTCAAAACCGTATCTGAAAACCCAGGTGGAGAAGGTGGTGGTCACCATGTGTCTCTCTGCCATCACCTTCTGTTTTCCTTACCATACTGATTGCCTGCAACGATAAAATGAAGCAGGAGCCTGGTAGTGGTGGCTCTGACTTCCTGGTTTGAGCATGCCTGCACCAGGAGAGGCATGAGATGTCATTTTGTCCTTACACTCTATGCCTTATTGTGGGGTTTGGCACCTCCTGCCTCTCCCTTGCATTCCTGAGCTGCCTGTCAGTCTGAGTGACAGTCCTCAGCTAGCAGACGGAGTATAAAAGGGAGACAGCTCTATGCTTTGGACTACCAGGAGGATTTCTGAGCTTCCAGTTGCCGTATCCCTTTTCAGTGTATTTGCTGAGAGAACAACTCATTCCTGTCATGGCTGATGGGTAAGAGAAAATCATACTAATGCTTCTTTAATGCGAAGGGCAGTGGGGATGGGATATATTGTTCTGGTAGACGCATAAAAGGGAGTTATGTGAAATGCAGCACAGCAATAACCCCACTTCCTGTTTCCATTCTATTTTACTAACTCAGATTAAGAAATGGGAGAGACAAGTGAAACATAAGCTGCTTTAGCTAAAATAAGTTCATGCTGAGACCAGATTTTACTTAAACATAGCTGATAACATAGAATTGGTTCTTCAAACATTATCGTGCCTTCCCAGGACTCTGACAAAGTGCACAGTAACTGCCTACCCTTATTTTGTCCACAGACAACATTTTTCTTCCCACCTACAAAATCTGTCTTATTTGTCCTTTGCTATTTCATCTACCAGCTTTAAACTAAGAAAACTATCACTAGACTCAAGTAAAAATACATATACACTGGCATAAGAGGAAAATCAAGATAATCGTTTGTATCTGCTATTAACCATATAAGCTGCCGCATGTATTTCACAACATTTGAACCGTATTTTTAAATGGTTGGGAACTTCTTGTAAATGGTTGCTCACCAGGCTTTCCAAATGCTTTTCTTCTCTATGCCACGATTAAAGGCTTTTTAAAATTGGATGATGTTCAAAGGATTGAAGGTAAATTTACTTTAGAGATGTTAAATCAAACCTTCTTTGCAGGGCTTCATCTGACCCATTTGCAAGACATGTTTTTCTTGCTTTGACACTTTTGACTTGCTCACATGGTTTGCCACTGACCTTTTCATTCTCTTCATGTCTTGAGTCATTTCTGATTTATAGCAATGAAAGACTTATTGGGGCATTGTTTTGCGTAGAATGAAGGTTTCATAGAAGAAAATAACTTGGACAAAACAGACACACCATGTGAATGTTTCACGTAAAAGCTGCAACAAAATGGAGATGTTAGATTCTTTTGCTCTAGCCACATTGCTGGTGCATTGGAGTTACTATTGCAAAGAGCCTCCCCAGAAAGTTTTCTCATCTCTTACAAGTGCAGGCTTAGTGTTCTTGTTGTTGGGTGGTTTGTGCACGTAAGCACATCTAAGCAGGACTTCAACTGGATAAAATCCAATTGGACAGACTTCTTGCAAAGAAATAATTTATCCCCTGTGAAAGCATAGATCTAACAACTGAGAGATTTCAACACAGGGAGAGGATTGAGCATTAATGATAAAAATCTCTGGTTTGAGTCATACATGTAATCATATGGAAAAGCAGAGAGTAAATATGCAATACTCTTTTCCCAAGAATCTTACATAAATGCTGTGCGTCATGGATTTGCATAAAGGTGTTGGGCTTCTTCTATTTGAAGTTGTTTCACCTCTTACATGAAAGCTAAGTTTATGGACATTTTTTAAAGAAGTACTGTCCAGAAAGAGTTTTTACAAGATGACTATATAAGCCACTGAATAAGTTCTTTGCTTTGGCAGGGATATAGTTTTCTTTATTTCAGTCTGAAGTTACAATGTGTACAGGACCTCTGTGCCTCTGGGAACTAAAGGGGCAACAAAAAGGAGAGGAAAAGTTCATGATGACAGTGTGATAGCACCCTTCAGAGAAGAAGGAGAGAAAAGGCTTTTAATTTATAATATTAAATGACTATAGAGGTTTGGGACACATCTTCTGAATGCAGGAATACATTTAGTAGAAGTATCTTTATTAAACAAATATGAGGCTTGAAATCTGTAGGTATGCTTTCGCTATAACCCTCTCCTGAGTAGACACCCTGAGCTTCCCTCCATAAGCTCATGCAATATTCCATAACATTTCTAGAGGAGGAAAGATCAAACAGAGCCTTGTAGGCTTTATAAAAATAGGACAAATCTGCCAAGAGCAATGAATGAGCAGTAGGTGTTGAAAGAATGACAGGTTTCCTGTATAGGTAACTTTAACCAAAATACATACATACTAAAATATATGTACATAAAATACTACGTATTTTGAACAAAATATATATATTAAAAAAAACCCCATCAAACAACAACAACAAAAAGAAAACCCACCCCAAAACAAACAACTGACATTGCCCCTAATATTTCACATACCTTGGATGTTCATCAGACAGCAGACTCCTATCCGCCACTGGTAGTTACTTCCAAAGTAAAAACTGTATCAAATACAATATGGCGGCACTCCAACAGATGGGATAAGCCTGATGCAGAGGAATAGATAGCAGGAGGGTCCAGAGCACAGGAGAAAAGTGATCCAATAAAATTAGGTCAGTCCAAGGTAACATGAATGTAGGCTTGAAGTTTGAAAAATGTCTCTGGTCCTATTCTGTGAATTTGCTGATCCTGTTCATGGGACTTCAGCTGAGCTGGTGAAATGTGTGGATTTGTAAGCTCTTTTGAGAACGAATGGCTCTTCTCAAGACTTTGGAAAGAATGAATGGCTGAAAATAAACAAAAATGCTGCTGTTGGTGGCTTCTGTGCTACAGCTTGAGGCTGACTCCGCATGAAGTTGAGCAGGTGTCCCGTTTGGGCTGCATAGCCAGTATTGATAATGTGATGCCACAAGCCACACTTCTGCAGTATAAGCAGAACCTCAGGTTCGGGCAAGGGCTGAATATGGTTCCTCTGTGACAGCCTCCTTCTGCTCCACTGTAAGATCCATGCAAATACTTGTTCCAAACCAAAATCTTCCTTCATATTTGGGTTTAACCCTAACAACAAACATATCCTTTGGCTCCCATATACTAGAATTTTTAGTCCTTTTCCTTTTTTCAGGTATTGACACCTATTGAAGCCCAGTTCGAAATTCAAGTGAACCTTGTAGATTTCCCATCAACAACGATCTCAAAGTATCGCAGAACCTGAGCAAAACCAGCCTGTCAGTGCCTCCAGCATAGCTGAGGTACATGACGGCTCACACTGCAGTGCAGGCAGGCTGAGTTGTGGCAGATGAAGTAGTTATGGTTGTCTGCCCCACCCTTCTGTAGGAGGTTTCTTTCCCCGCTCTAATACTGCATATAATATAAAATCACATATGTTCATATGCTCCTCAGCTGCTGCAGCTTATCCTCTGGTGCATTAATGTCAGCTGGCTGCTTTTGACTTTTATCTCAGGGATATGAATTTCTGTAGGCAACAAGCTCTCAAATAGTTAAGCGCAGATTGCTTATGCTTTTCAGGAGCTTCTAACCTTAGGCTGTATGAGTTCCATCCCGCAGTCACACAGACAATTCCAGGGAAAAAATCTGTTCAATAATGGAAGGAGAAGAGGAGAGGAAGTCTCAGTTCTACAGGCACAGTTCTGTTACTTTCTGGTTCTGTTTCTTTCAATATACAGCTTAGACCAGCAGTTTCTGAGCCAGTCATGAAGCGCAGTCCGGGACAAGAGAATTCTCATGAAATCTTTCTGTACTGCTCCCCCCCCCCCCCTTGATTAATGCCCTCTTTTCTGCTCTGACTTCTGCTTCCTCCCTGGCAATAATGGGCAGGTGCCCACCTAGATGGCTTTTTGCTCTTCCTGGCTCTCAAGCTCCTTGCATCAAGCTGGCACATCAGAAGACTCTCAGCTTACCACAATATTTGTTTGCTCTTTCTGCTGAAAAGCATGGAATTTGCCACTGGCAGGTGGATGCAGCAAGCCTCTCCATCCTGGCCAGAAGGAGAAGATGTAAGAGTAATCAGTTAGGAAGTTCAGAGTTGGGCTTGAAAGTGCCTTGGTTCAGTCTGGGAGAATCAGTTAAAATCATGGCAAGTTGCCCAAATGACTATTTGAAAGAAATGCCCATTGTTGACAAATGTTGGCACATTTTTTTCTTTACTTGGCCTCTACTTTGGAGGAGAAATTCAGAATCATCAAGCAGTCCTTCTCTGGGTATCAGTGCATGTGCTGGTTTGTAATGGATTAATTGAACTGTGAGTCATTTGAAGATTAATCTACTTCTCTTTCTTCTTCACTCTGTTCTTTGTCTTGGTCTTATGTATTAGTTTAGACTTAATGCCCTTGAAACTGGAGGTGCTTTTGGGCGGTTCATCACAATAATAACCCTTCCTAATCTTATTGATGGATGGCTGGATAGACTTCTGAAAACTATAAGCTATTATGCAGGATAAAATTCTATTAAAATGAGGAAAGGACCAGCCTGGGTAGGTTTGTATGTGCATCAGAGATCAGTGCATGAGAGAATTTTGTTGTATGCAGACCCTGTGTTTAAAATGAGTCTTGGTCAGCCTTCATCACTAACTTTTTGCTGGGATAACCACATATGGGGGAAGAAAAGTGACTCTAGCATGGGGTCTTGCAGGAAGGTAGGAAGGGTGTATAAAAGATTGCTGCTAGAGAACATAGAGAGAATGCTTTGCTTCCTGTGCTTCCTGTTCTGTTGTGTAGTGTTGCTACACGCTGATAACAATCTCCTGCTTGCTTTACACTGCTTGTTTGTACGTAGAATGCTCCTGAATGGAACACCACCACCATCCTCATGTTTATTTCAGTGCATGGAAAACTGCAGGAAGGCTTATTAGCAAAAATTTTGTTAAAAGGGACTCTAACCTGAGGGAAGGCTCGTTTTATTACAGGTTACCTGCATTCTTTAGATAGGAACATGAACCGTGAGCTCTATGTTTTTTAGAGCAACACTGACAGGAAGGTGAGGGTGTGAGGTATATAGGAATGATTCGTGTCAGAAACTTAGGAGTCCTTGTCATCATTGCACTTTGGGAGGAATGGGAAATCATGTGTAGAATGTATAGGAATGATCAGATTAAGATGGGAGTTCCTGTAAATACAATGATGAAAGAAAAGAAGGAACAAAGGAATAATCCTTCCTAATCAAAGTCTTTGTTACTTTAAGGGGTACTTTGTTTAACTACTTGAATGTCTCAGATGCTTTGCTAACTACAGAGGGTGTTTTGTTTAACTGCTTGAATACCTTAAGGGGGTTAGGTAATCAAGGGATACATTCTGTTACGGGATGAGGTGAAACTTGTGTATTCGATATGTAACTATATAAGAAATGGAATTGAGGGGGCTAAGATAGTGGTTAAGCTTGTGACAGACATTCCCTGTTAATGTATTGCCAAGGAATTCAATGACTTTTTAAGAAGTTTCATCACCCAAAGATAAGATCCCAGCAACAGGAGGAGAACAATAAAAAAGAATCACGTCGGTATTTGGGTGAAGGAGACGACAGGATTGGCTGAAACCCAAGACCGAGGAGTATAAGAGACTGTACCCCAGAACTCTCGGCGTGCGTTGCTGGTGGAGTGAAGGCTCCCCTGCGCACCCAGCGCTGCTTGCTTATTGCTTCTCAATAAATTGTAAATAAATTAAATTTGGACCAAAACCCTGTCTATGCTAAATTTTTATAAACAAGGGGAGAAGAGAAAGCTCTCCTGATGTCAAGCTGAAATTCAGAACATAGAGTGACATCAGAAGATGCTAGAAGTGATTTGCAGAAATAATAGCACGCCATCTTTTTTCACTGTATTTCTTGACAGGGAAGCCCTAAATCATGAACTTTCTACAATTTTCAATGAGATGTGGGATATGGATGTTAACCGCCTTATGCCTGGGAAAGACTACACAATTGATTTGCAGGTAACCAATTGCTAAGTCACATAAGGATTAAGGGCAATATCGTACTGTAGGAAAAGGTGTTGGCAAAACATCATTTTGCCCATGCTTTATCATTTCCATTAAATGCATAAGCAGGATTTCCTAATAATGGGAGAGGGAACAGTACAGAAAACACATTAATGATCCACGCTACCTGGGCATTGGTTCCAAGTGGAAAAGTCTTTCAGTTGTCTGTATTGGGTCCTATAATATATATTTATATATTATAAATATTTTTTTTAACTTGGGTCCTATTTAATATCTCTATCAGTGGCCTGGAGGAGAAGACGGAGTGCAACCTTTCCAATTATGCAGATGATGACAAACTGTGATGTTGTAGTTTCATAGGAAGACAATTCCTAACAAAGAATCCCAAAAGCATTATGGGGTTTTTTTTGATTATTATAAAGGCAGGCACTGTCTCCTCTAAGGACATCTTACTTCTTTCATTGTTTTACTCTAATGTTTCTCCTAGGGAAAAGCAGGTGATGCAGAGCAAGGTGACAGCGCAGCCAGACGTCTGTTTCACAATGTAAATGAAAAACGACTGAAGAGCATAAAAACTTTTGCAAGTGAGACACATTCTTTTGTTAATGATGGAAATGACATGAAGAATCTGTGTTGGGTTTTAAGTGTTTGCTAATATGTAACATCCTATTTAATTTAGATTGTGATGAGGATCACGCCTCGTGTAATTTGAAAGTACTTCCCACAACATTTGCATGGATATTACCTATAGCCTCAGACAGAACATCCTTTTGTCCTTAGCCAGATCTAAATTTCTCTGTGGTTCTTCCAGTACAAGGTGAAATGGAAGAGACTCTTACCATTGCTTTGATGTTATTCTGGGTATTGAAAAAAGATGTCAGTCATCTTTTCTCCTTTGCTCACAGCTTCTAGCCCTTTCAGATAACACGAAGTCCACAGCTACTGCTTACATCAATGTGGAAGGCTATACTTTAAGCATGTGTACGAATGCATGTTTCCTTCCCTGATTTTCTTTTCTCCAGATAGAGTTACATTAAGCTAATCAAACAGCCACTGTAATGGGAAGCACTGGTTTTCTCTGTTTCCCCCACTCCTCTCTGAGCCACACAATCCTGTCCTTAAGTGAGGGCAGCTCTGGTACTCAGCAAACCCTACACCAAGTCCCTTCAGCTCACTAACCTGGCAGGGAATTACTTAGGTTTTTGACCTCATGTACTTTTCTATCAGTCTGGTGCGATGAGCATGAGTAGATGAAGTGATGGCAGGGATCAGGAAGCAAAAGGGGTGAAAAGGAGAAAATTAACCCATTCACTCCGTGCCCACATGCCCAAGCTCAAGCCATCTCATGTAGGTTTATGCTGTGTTATTCCTCTCCTGAAGTTAATGCCCACAAAGCCTCCTGCCAGGTTAGCTCAAGTTTGTAAGCCTATGTCTGTAATTTTGGTGACCAAATATAATCTGTTTTGGTAGAAGGTCATTACTGCTTCAGCACTTGGTTCCATAAAGAAGATCAATAGTGAGCTGTGTATCTTAAAAAGAAGTCCAGCAGTGTTCTAGCCTGTAGTCACCCCCAGACTTACACCTAACAAACAAAGTAGCCAAGAATGAAACTTAACAAATAAAGGAGCATTGTTCTCTAAGGCCTGTCAAGGCATATTATGTGGCATCTTTCCATTATGGCACTCTCCAATGCCTGGATCACAGGTACAATTAAGCCTTCGTTCATCAGAATGAGCATGCTGAAAGTTTCTCTTTTTCTGCAGCCTTTATTTCCTTATTGGACAACTATGAGACATCAACTGGTGTAGCAGAAGTAGTGACTCCAGAAGAAATAGCTGAAAACAATCGTTTTCTTGATGCTATCTTAGCGACAAAAGTAATGAAAGTGAGTAACACAGGTATTTTTTAGTCACTGAAAACACTGAATTAAAAGCTAAACTGTTGCATGTATCCTGGTATTCTATCCTTCAGCTAGCTCATGAATATCTGCTTAAAAGAAACCTAGCAAAGCCAAACGTTGACGATTTCAAACATCAGCTCTATGACATCTGGTTCCAGCTCTATCCCAGGAAAGGAGGAGACAGGTATGTTGGATGGATATGGCCCCTACTAATCTCTCTTCTGACTTAGGTAAATATAAGCCAAACTGCTGCCTGTTACACAAAGGGCTGGAAGACAGCCTCAGGTGTTCATTGCTCCCACAGAGACTGTGTTTAAAGACTTACTGATACTAGCAGTACTGACCCTTGGGGTACATAACTGGTGAATTGCCTCCAGCTGCACTTTATGTCCATAATCACAGGCCTTCAAGCACAGACATACATTCATTCATCCACCTTTCAGCCTACCACATCATCTACTTTTCTAATCTGTACTTTATCAGTTTGTCTATGAATCTGTTATGGGAGACAGTGCCAGAAGCCCTGTTAAAATCTGGATAAGCAGCAGTGATGCATCTGTGGCACTTACTAGCAACCTTCATGATCAAATTTAGATGCTGTGGCTAGATCTTATTGCAACTTTTGTGCAAAGTAAGAAAAAAACCCTAACAAAACCAGACAGATAAAAAAACTACTCATAAATCAGCCTAACCAAGCTTGTACATCTTACCTTTCACCTATGCCCATCTGAATTATTTAAATGTTTAAACAGTGTGAGAGACCTATATATTATTCTTTGGTTTATTACAGCCCTGATTCTTGTGGTTTTGAACATGTTTTTGTTGGAGAAACAAGGCGTGGTAAACAGATACTAGGTCTGCACAACTGGGTTCAATTTTACCTTCAGGAAAAGCGCAACCAAATTGATTACAAGGGATATGTCACTCAGAAGAACAAAACCAGGGTAAGAATAAGCAGAGTGCCTTTGCAAGTAAGACAAATGGATATGGAGATAAAAGCTGTGGCAATGAATCAAGGCACAACGATGCCATCATAGGCTCAAGTGTTTTGAACCTGATTTGCCCAGGTGTAAGAAGAAATATGAGCATGTCCTCAGGTCTAGCTTCTTTTTTGTTTTGTAAACCCTATTTTAAAAAGTAGTAATGGTGGTTACAGAATCAGAACACTGCTGAAGCTTAACTGAGATAAATGATCACACATGCTCCAGAAGACAGGGAAAAGGCTGTGCTCCAGCTATAGCACTCTGGCAAAGCAAGGATGACTGAATCTCACAATGCTCTCAAAAATCTTGAGACAGAAATTCTATCTGCCTGGCTGCAGCTGTTTTGAAAATTATTCTGTTGTTCTGTTTACGCTTTCAGCCTGACAAAGATGACCAAGTTTTGAACATCCAGTTCAGCTGGAAGGGCTCAGTCAAGCCAATTGGAAGCACCTTTATTGGTGTCAGCCCGGAGTTTGAATTTGCCCTTTACACCATCATTTTCCTGCTGTCTGAAGGAAAAGTCACACGTGAAACAGTGACGATAGAGGAATACAAGCTACAGATAGTTGTTTGCCGCCATGGTCACCACATTGGAACAGCATATCCAGTACTCCTCAACACCGGTAGTGAAGACTAGTACCTAGAGTGATCAGGCAACTTTTTTGGGGGGTGAGGGGAAGGGAAAGGAATAGGGAACAAATAGCAGAGTAAGCTGAGGTGTTGCTTTATACAACTGATTTTGAGTAAAAATTGATGACTCATTTGCTTTTGGTCTGCAATGGAGTGTTTAATCAACAGTGTGCCATGGCTCAGTGTCTGACAAGTCTTGAGACATATTTCTGCTCATACTGTTGCATCAAACTTACATCAGCCTTCCTTTATGTATGATAACCCTATACTTTTAAACAGATAATGGAATTTAGGGAAAGGTCATATTAAAATTGATACACATATTTCTCTTATTTGTTAGCTACTGCATATCTGAAAAAGAAATAATCACACATTGCTTACATGTTGCCTTCTGACAGGAACTTTGATTTGGCATAAACAGAACCAGGTGTTCTTTTCTTCTCATTTAATACAACATTAATTTCAAATGCATTTTTACAATTACAGTGCCTTGGACACAGAGGAAATGCTTTCAGCTGTGAGAATGGTCATCAGATCCATCAGATCAACAGCAGGTCTATCACTTCATCAGCTTTGCCCAGGTTTTGTAGAAACCACAGACAGCTTTATCTCACCTAACTTTAAAAGTCCATGGTACAGGCACTTGTGTTCCCATTACAGGCAGCAATGCCTGAAGTCACTTACCTGCTTGTGTAACCTGCATAAGCATTAGATGAATGTCCATACATAGTCCATTTACTAGATCCCCAGTGACAGTAATGAGATCACTGAGGACACCTGGTCCTAGTCCTGGACCTGGTCACTGGTCCTTCTGCTTATGTGGACATGCCTGCCTCTGTTCTTCCACAATGTGTTCAATATTCAAGTGAAAAGGAACGTAATGCTTTTCCTTCTTATAGCAATGCAGAAAAAGGCATATACTGACACCCTCAGTGTGTCAAGGACTGGTTAGATATGCACATCCCACAAGATTTTTTTCAACAAAGCAAGGATCTTTAGTCACACTGGTAAAAACTGCTTTTGTCTGTTTTCCTGAAGAGGACCAGAAAAATTGGCCTATTGCTGTGGAATGTAAAACAGCAGAAAAAATCATTTGAAATAAAGTACCTTTGGAAAACAGAAAAGACTTTACACAGACCCATGCAGGGATTTAAAATGTTTTCCCTTTCTTTAAGAATTTTTCATATACTCCCCATATACTTCATCAGCCATAGGAGTCTTTACCACTCATGGAATTTGGTCCTAAGCTCCAGTATACTGTGTCCTATAGCACAGCCTGGCATTAATTACATACTTAGAAACATTACAGAGAGTAAGCCAAGGGTTCCTACAGCTGTTGAAACTACAGAGAGGCTTTTGAGGTATAATACACAAGAGGAACAATGAGATAACAGCAATAGAGCAGCAACTGATAGGCACTGATGAACAAGTTCACCTTTCTCTGCAGCACCAGGAGCTACTGAAGTACAAAAGAGTCCAAAATAAGGTTCTGGTTCATTTGAAGCACGTAGGGTCTGAGGCAGTTATTGGAAATGGTACAGAATCACTGAGCTGTCACACAGAATACCTGCTCTGTGGCAGGTGAAAGGCACTGAGTGTCCTTCAGGTTGGAGAACTTCCCTGCAGCCAAAGGTCCACAGGTCATACCGCAGGCCCTGGCTGCTCTTCAAGAGTCCTTCAACTTTGCATATGTGGCAGGGCAGAACTGAGAATACAGTTGAGCCAGGAAAGCCTGGGATGTGATCTCTAACCTTGTCCCATGGCTCAGTTTATTCCATACATGCACTGCATAGGTGTTTTCAAGGAGCTTGTGAAGCACTGAGGGGCTGATGGCTTCAAATAACTTCTTCCAGTCCTGCCAGGGAATGGGATAAAAGGCTTCTGGGGGAAGAGCACTTACACCTTTACAGCTCATAGTGCTCTGGATATTACTGATGGAGCACCACTTCTTAAACACACGTGTTAGGAGAGCCGGCCCCTGGTGCGCCCAAATCCAGCCGTTGTAATTATCCACAAAGTCCTGCATGCAAAGCTCTATGTACTCATGCTTGGGTTTAAAGGACAGAAAAGCCCCATTCAGCACATCTGGAGACTGAATACCAAGGGCATTGGTGAGGTTCTTCAAGTTCTTAAGCACAATGAAGTCCGTGTCCAGGTAGATGCCACCAAATTTCCACATGATGGCAATCCTGCAGGCATCGGACAGGACAGGTAAGAAATAAGGCTCCCAGCGCTGCTGAGCCTGCAAATACCACTTTGCCAGAGGTGTTCCAGAGAAAAGCTCTGTCAAGTCCAGGGGCCGGATTTCCACATTGGGGAAGCAGCTCAGCAACGAGAAGCCCCAGTGTTTGGGTAATGAGGCGTTCCTGCTTGCCAAGCCCTTCATGAGCACCACGACCCTTGTCCCAGGGTGCGTCCTTGCTGCTGACTCCACAGAGCACATGAACAGGTAACTTGGGTCAGTTTGCTCCGATGTCTCCACAAAAAACACATTCCCTGGGGAAGGAGGGGGCCCACTGGCAGTAGGTTGGGGAAGGGAAGGTAAAACCAGTTCACACCTGCTTTGTGTAGGCAAGCTGTAGAGCTGGCTCTCAGCGTCCTCTCCAGTTCTCCAGTAGAACATGACAGAAGCAAAGAACACAAAGGAAACAGTGAGGATAGACAGAGCCCCGAGCCTGTGGCTCAGCAGCACTGTGGTCAGTTTTGGCAGGCAGTTGGACATGCTGGACAGTCTTGCTCCAGCCAGAGCCTGCTCTCCCAAGACAGTCGTGATCTGAAGAGGAGAAAAGAAGAAAAAGGCACTGACCGAAAAGGCAGCAGACGACGAACCTCTGAACAGCACCACAGCACAGCAGAACTCTCCTTTTGCCACCTCAGGGCAGCATGCCTAAATTATGCCTTTTGGTCATCCTGAAACAGTCTCCTGGCTTCTCCATATTGTCACAGGGCCTTCAGATCTCACATCAGAAACTACTGCCCATCTTTCCATCCCCGTGTTTCAAACATAAAATAAACACAAGTCTCTCTTTCTTGTGTACCACAAACCCAGACTGATCCCCCATTCTGTCCATGTATGTTACCCATGTAAGTTGTGCTTGCTGCTTGGAAGGACCTATGGCAATTGATGCACAAATGGCATGCCTTCATGTTGGTGCGCAACAAACTGGGAGCACCATCACAGGCTTTACCTATCATCTAGAATTTCAGGTTATTCTGTACATGAGACAAATCTGCAAAAAACCCTAGGACAAGGAAATAGGAATGAACTCGATGAATATTCCTGGAGCTCTGCCAACAGCTACTGTGTGGAACTGCTGCCCTGATGAAAACTTCTCATGGTATATTTCTCCTGATACACAATCTGCCTGTTCCACAGCCAAACAAAAATACCAAGCCCCCAGTTCTGTCAGTTCCTATCAAGAGCCCTTAGCTTCCCAGGCTGTGGATCCAGCAGTTGCTGCCTTTCAAAAACAACTGCCTGCCCCTACACAGAGCCTGGCCCATTTTTCATGGCACTGTAGCATAGCAAAATGCATGCATAATGGGAGGGGAATTGATACAAAGCAGCAGCAGCAGCTTTGAAGGCAGTTGCAGACAGAAAGGATAAGAACTGACTAGGTAAAGAGAGTTTCTAGGCTGCTTCCCAACCCTACTCCCCTGCCAAGTCCTCATTCCTACCTCCTCTGATAGGTAGTGCTGTCTAACCAAATGGTCACCAACCCAGGATGGAAAGGTCATGCTGACTGTGACCTGCTCTGCCCTGCTGGTGGAATTGCCAGGTGATGGATATGCAATCTCGCCTCCACCCTATGCTTACTTTCTCTCTTTGACAGCAACAACAACAAAAAAAGAAGTCATTCTATCTACATTCTCAGCATTAGCATCAGTATTTCGTCCCTTGCCTTCCCTTAAAGTGAAGAACAACAGAACCAGCACCTCCTGGGTGCACCACTGGGGCCCCAAAGATCAGTTCACAAAAGCACATGAAGAAGCAGCGAGGCATTTAGGATGAGATGAAACAGCTTCAATTGGTACCAGAGGAGGGTTAGACTGGTTTTCAGGAAATATTTATTCACTTAAAGGATTGTCAAGCATTGGAACAGGCTGCCCAGGAAAGTAGTTAAGTCTCTATGCCGGAAGACATGTAGAGGTGGCATTTAGGGACGTGGTTTTGTGATGTACTTGGCAGTGCTAGGTTTACAGTTGGACCTGATGATCTTAAATGTCCTTTCCAACCTAAATAATTCTATGATTTCTCCTGCCTCCCTCTGATCCAGCTCCGGATCCCCATAATCCAGAACAGAGAGCTTCAGGCTACAGCAAAAGCTTTAATCAAACAACTGTAACCAAACAGACAGGAAAGAGAACCAAGCTGGCACAATTCCATTTGTCATTCATCCCTAGGTACTGCGGCTGGGTGACACACTGAACAATTCATGTAGCCAGAAAATGCCTTGTCAGCCACACTGGGAGGTTTCCAGTGCAACAGCACACAGCCACCACTCTCCCTTCACAAGGCAATGGGGCCTGGGGGACAGAGAAGAGGCAGCCAGTACACAAATCATCAGGTCTGGATTTGCGGAACACTTTTTTCTCCTAAAAAAAAAACCACCAGCATGTGCTGTGTTACAGGCAGGAAAAAAAAAAAAAAAAGCATAAAGAAGAGAAAACACACTGGTTTCTACATACCCATTTCTCCCTCCACACCACAACTGGTTGAATCATGTAAATCATTTTTAGCTTGATAAGCTGTAGAAGAGAAGGGAGGTACAGGCTGGAGGGGACAGAGTCTCTGCTGTAGAGGAAGCAGGAAAGAGCGGCGCTAACAGTGATCAAGCTTCAAGGTTACATGCATATTTTTAGTAAGAGCAAGAACGTCTACTACGATACACTCAGAAATCCTCTTACCCGCTTTTGCAGTGGATAAGAGGACATTCTAGACGCTGCATTAGCCAGTCCATCTATTTCACAAAACAAACACAGGAAATGTGGCTCTCTACCTTCCTCTGAAATTACAAGTCCCATTGCACAGAAACTGCAAATACTACTCACCTGTTCCTGCTTTCAAGACACCACAGAAGTGACTGCTCAGCTGGACCAGGTTTTCAAGAGGTTAGTGTCTCTGAGAGCACCTAGAACTCCATGCTCTTGCACTTCCTTTTTCTGAAAAGAAATAGAGTCTGAACACATGGAGACAGCAAACAGATCGGGGAGGATGTGACATCATATACTCAGC